CTAGCAGTAGCTTCTGCAAATCAGGTAGTGACCAAAGACTACTTGAAGGTGATCATTGACAATCAAAAGGAAGCATACAAGCTGTTCAGACTTATTGGCGCAAATTCTGGAAACCGCAAGATGGAAGTAATTCTCCAACAACACAGTCCATCTCCAATACCACAGCTCCCTATTGCAGTCAAAGAAGGAGAAGTATCTTATATTCCTTCTCATCTGAACTTGACAAATCTAATCCTTGAAGCACAACAATGAAATCCGGAAAACTCAGCACAACTTCTATCCAGCTCAGGACTAGATGGAACATAATTTATAGGTACAGTTGTTGACCACTTCTCAAATGATGCTCAATCAGAAGAAAGACGTGAAAATTTAAGGCGCATCAAAGAACTAGGTGGGAACAAGAAGGGCATCAGTGAGGTTTTCGGATCTTCAAAGCGCAAGAGAAACTGAAGGTTCTTTTCATCAAAACAGGGGGAAAGTATGTGAGAACACTAATGTGTTTTGATGCAAACACCTTCTTGTTTAAACATTGCTTGATTGGTTTAAACATTGCAATATTGCTTCAACAATTTGCTCAGTTATGCTTATTATGCTTGACTATACTTATCTCAAATATGATTATGAGAATTTTTTTTTTAAAGCTCATACATTCAGGGGGAATGTATTTCAGGGGGAACTTCACTAGTTTTTGGCTAACAATTGTTTTTGGCAATGAATTATTGATAAGCTCTAAACAATGGAAGACGGATATCTCAGTTTTGGTACTAAAATTGGAAATCTCCGATTCAGGTACTTTACAAAATCTGCCTTCTTAAACTAAGCTTCAGTCCTTAATTCATTTCCAACAAGCTCTAAAAGTACTGGTCCCTAGGATGTTTAAAATGTACAGGACTTTGGAAAAATAGTACCACTTTTCTTTTAAAAATAATATTCATATTTGTTTTGGTGCTACCTCGTCCTAAGTAGAAATTAGAACTATAGGGAATGAAAAATGATAGTTCTATTTTGGGCCTTGAGAACCCAATAGGAATAATTTCCCTTTAGTACGTAGCTTTCTGTTCTTTTTGGGCCACTCTTTTGGGCATAGCCAAATTAAAACAGTTATGATTCTCAAACCAAACGAAACTGATTTTCAAATTGGAACAGTTTCAACTCATTGGTAATTGGTAAAAGATTCCTTCCACTTTTCAACTTCTTGGAAGTTGAAACTCTTTTACTCTCACCGTTCCACCTACCAAATTAATGGAACCCGTGAACCCTCTCTTCTCCTATTTAAATCAAGATATCTAAATCCATTTCCATCACAAACTTTTCTCTCAATATGAAAAGTCCTCAAACTCACTATCTAAGAAACACACCAAGAAAAATATCCTCAATGGAGAAATTTTTCTTTCTCACCCTCATAGACGGCAATGGAATAAGCCTATTGAGAAGAAAAGACTTTCAAGGTCTATGGTGAGAATCTCGGCAGTAGAGAAGGTATATGGTGGAAATCTCGTATATTTCAGTATTAGACCATACACCTTCTCTGGAACAACACTCTCTCTATCTTTCTTCTTATTTTGAGAGATGTGTTGCTTCCAAGATCTTAAATATCCTCTTTGGATATTAAAGATCTATCAAACGCAACGCCAACCGCTCTGCCAAGCAGAATCTGCTGAAGCTGAAAACGGTCAATGGCGGAAGAGATCACAAAATCTCAAGACAAGACTTGGTTTAGAAATTATTGTAATTTGAATTGTATTTGTTTAAGAGTTTTTGTTAACAAGCTGTATATTATGAGAAACTAAAAGAAAGTTACAAAATTAGTTCTCAGTACAGCGACCGGAACTCTTAAACACTTGTTTGTCATCATCAAAAAGGGGGAAATTGTTGGGAAAAATATCATAGATTTTGATGATGATGTATTTAGAATGTAATAGGGACTTTAGGTCTCCCCCAATATTCAATGTAATTTTTCTTTTTAGAAATATTGTTAAAACCAAGTTCTTGAGATTTCCAATAA